GTCTTTCTCCTGCAGAGCGCCTGGTGAGTTCAAACCACCGACCCTTGGGTTAACAGCCAAGGGCTTAACCGTTGCACCACCAGGGCACCTTAGTAATAGACCCAGCTATGATTGCGCTTGGGTCAGGCATTGTGCACGGCATTTAAATGCATTAGCCCTAATTCTCACAATGAGGAAGGCCTCTGTTGCATCATCTCCTTTTACAGAGACTGAGTAAATGTATTCTGTACGTCGACTGTAGTTAGGAAGGATGCCGCCAGCCTGGACCCAGGTCCGTCCACCTCCACCTCTGAGATCTTGCCGTTTACATGCCCTTCTCTGCCTGAGAAGAGCAGGTGGAGAACCTGGACTCATCACATAGCTGCCGTGGAGCCGACTTCAACTCATGGCGACTTTGTATAAAGCAGAATGAAACGCTGCCCGGTCCCGTGTCATCCTCATGATCTCTGCCATGTTTGAGTCTATCATGGCGGCTATTGTGCCAACCTGTCTCACCGAGGGTTTCCCACGGAGGGTTTCCCACACCCTCGCTGACCCTCTTCTTCACCAAATGTGATTTGTCTTCCTCCAGCAATTGATCCCTCCTGATGATGTGTCCAAAGCAAGCGAGTCAGACAGTGGTCTCTTGTGATCCACAGGGTTTTCATTGGCTCATTTTCAAAAGTAGATTGCCAGGCCTTTCTTTCTAGTCTGTCTTAGTCTGGAAGCTCTGTTGACACCTGTCCACCATGAATGACCCTGCTGGTATTTGAATTACTGGTGGCATAGCTTCCAGCATCACAGCAACATGCAAGCTACCACAGTACAACGCGTTGACAGGTGGTGGTCTGTGTGGTTGGGCTTCTCTTATTCCCTGCGTAGTGCTCTCCCTCTCTGGGAGTTTATTCACTTCTTTCCTTGTGTGTTAACTGATCTCCTGCTTGAGCATAAGCCCTGTGCTGGGAGGCCTGGCCCCTCCTGTTTGCTTGTCTCCTTGTGCCTAGAACGGTGCCTGGCGCACAGCAGATGCTCAGAAGACTTAGCTTCCAGACTGAGACAGACAGAGGTGC